TCCCGCCGCGTCGCGTAGCAGCGGGGACGCGACGGCGGTGTCATGGCGGATGTGGCGGCGGAGGAACAGGCCCAGGCTGAGGCCGCGGCCGGTGCTGAGGAGACGGTGAAGATCATCTGCCTGGGCGACAGCGCCGTGGGCAAGTCCAAGTGCGTGACCGCCCGGCCGGTTCCCGCGGGGAGGGGGGGGAGCGGCTCGGTGCCGCGGCCTAACGCGTGTGCGCTCTGTCCGCAGGCTGCTGGAGAGGTTCCTGCTCGACGGCTTGTATCCTTGTGCTGCGCCCTCCGCGGGGGGCGGCCCGGCCGGCCGGGAGCGGGGCCCGGCCCAGGAAACCGCGCGGGGCCCGGCCGGGGAGCGGGTGCCGGGCAGTCGGGGGGGACGTTTTGCTCCGACGGCTCCTTAACGCGGCCGCAGCCGCCCCCAGCAGCTCTCCACCTTCGCCCTGACGCTCTACAAGCACCGCGCCCGGGTGGGCGGGCAGGCGGTCCTCGTGGGTAAGTGCGGCGGGCCCTGCGGCGTGGCGCTGGTCGCTCTGTGACGGGTGGGAGTTCAAGAAAAACGTTGTTTTATTCTGCGGTTTGAGTTGAGAGTCTGCACTGCTGCCCCTGTCGCTGCAGTTCCTGTGGTTTCAGTGTGCTGCAGCTCAGGCTCAGGGACCCTGAGGGGTCATCTCGCACAGCTCTGCACCGGAGAAACTCTTTACTTAATGATACTCTTCATTGATATAGATAGATATAATGTATTTAAAGACTTCCAATGGCAAAGACTGCTTAGGCCATCTACTGCAACGTATCAGGGTTCTTAGTGCTAGAAAGTCTTTCTTTCTTGATACTCCTTTATTCAAGGTAGACCAGTTATTTCCTGTGTTTCCTGGACACTGAACATGTTTTTTCCCTTCCTGTTTGCACCAGCTTTCTACATGTTTGAACACTGTACCTTTCTCCTTTATTGATGAATGAAAATTTGGAGACGAGCTGGCAATATGCTCTTGCAGCCCAGGAAGCCAATTGATCCTGCGCTGCGTAAAAAGAAGCATGGCCAGCAGGTCGAGGGCTCTCTGCTCTGCTCGAGAGCCCACCTGAAGTGCTGCATCCAGCTCTGGGATCCCCAGTACAAGACAGACACAAACCTGTTAGAGCAGGTTCACAAAAATTACCCAAGGGCTGCAGCCCTTCTGCTGTGCGGACAGGCTGAGAGGGTTGGGGTTGTTCAACCTGGAGAAAAGAAGGCTCCGGGGAGACTTTACTGTGGCCTTTTGATATATGAAGGGGGCTTGTAAGAAAGATGGAGGAAGAGTTTTTACCAGGGTCTATAGTGACAGGTCAAGGGGCAACAGTTTTAAACTGAAAGAAGGTAGGTTCAGATTGGGCATCAGGAAGAAATATTTTATGTTGAGGGTGGTGACACTTGGGTGCTGCTGGCCCAGGTTGGCCAGAGAAGCTGTGGCTGCCCCATCCCTGGAGGGGTTCAAGGGCAGGTTGGAGGGGGCTTGGAGAAACCTGGTCTGGTGGGAGGTGTCCCTGCCCAGGGCAGGGGGTGGCACTGGGGGGGCTTTAAAGGTCCCTTCAACCCAAACTCTTCTCTGATTCTATTTCTTCTCTCTTTTAGGGTAAACAACTTCACTTTATTTTGCCTTTTCTCATAGGGCATCTTTTCTGGATCCCTTGTCATTCTTTATGACTCTTCTAAATTCTGTTCAGTTGGTTCATGTTTGAAATACATTTTACAAATACAGAGATGATTCTTCATCAGAGTTCTATCAGTATACATTACCACTGAGTGAGGAAATCCTGCAATTCTTAAATAACTGCTATCTGTAAAATAGCAAAACATCATCCACCTGTTTTGCTGGTTGCATGGTTCCTAACCTGATTGGTAACAATGGTTTCAATAATAAACTAATGCAGATAAACTGGGATGGTTTTTAATATGGTTCCATAGAAATTCATAAGGAGAATTAGGAACCATCCTGGGAGGCAAAAAAGAGGATGAATAGTGCTTAGCTGATTATAAGCTTCATAAGAGGGATGTATTCCAAACAGCTACAGTAATATTTGAATATAAAATCAGAATATTAATTTCAGACATTTTATAGCTCTCCCAAATTTGAAACATTAACTAACATTAACATTTGAATCATTAACTAAGATGCCTTTTTAAAAACTACTACACCAAGACTTTCTTATTTCTGTGGTTCAATAAAAGCATTGAAAATTGGTGGAAGTTTGGCTGACCACTAGATGCCCACCAGGCCACTCTGTCACTCCCCCTTCTCGACAGGATGGCGGGAGAAAATATGATGAAAAAGCCGGTGGGTTGAGGTAAGGACAGGGATATTACTTACTAGTTTCCATCATTGGCAAAACAGACTTGACATGGGGAAATTAATTTAATTTACTGACAATTAATTGTAACAGAGTGGGATAGTGAGAGTAAAACAAAACTAAAGCCACCTTCCCTCCATCATCCCCCTTTTCTCCCAGGCTGAACTTCACTCCTACATCTTCTGCTCCCTCCTCCTCCCCTGAGCGGTGCAGGGAAGCGGGGAATGGGGATTCATAGCACTTTGCCTCTGCTGCTCCTTCCTCCTCACAGCCTTCCTCTGCTCCAGCGTGGGGTCCCTCCCATGGGATAGTCCTTCATGAACCTCTCCAGCATGGATCCTTTCTGCAGGGTACAGCCCTTCAGGAACACACTGCTCCAGTGTGGGTCTCCCATGGCCACTGCTTCTGCCAGCAAACCTGCTCCTGCGTGGGCTGCTCTCCACAGGCCACAGCTCTTGCCAGGAGCCTGCTCTGGGGTGGGCTGTCCACGAGGTGCAGCTTCCTTCAAGGCACGTCTACCTGCTGCAGTGTGGAGCTCTCCCCAGTGTGGACATCTGCTCCTCCACTGTCCTGCAGGTGGAGGACACCTGGACACGGGGGGACCACCTGCCTCACCATGGCCTTCCCCACGGCTGCAGGGGAATCTCTGCTCCGGGGCCTGGGGCACCTCCTCCTTCTTCACCGACCTTGGTGTCTGCAGAGTTGTTTCTCTCATGTTTCTCGCTCCTCTCTCTACAGCTGCTGCACAGCATTTTTTAACCCCTTCTTAAAGGTGTTCTCACCACCATTGTAGAGTGGGTATGATTTGGCCAGAAATGGGTCTTTCTTGGAGCTGACAAACTAGCTCTGCCTAATGTAGGGTCACCTTCTGGTGTGTTCTTGCAGAAGCCACCCCTGCAGCCTCCCACCCTGGAAAAACCTTGCCACTTAAACCTAAGACAAGGTTTCAGAGAAGACCCATGAGAACAACTGAAGGGTGGTAAAAAGGGGCCTAATGATGAGAGATTCAGTCTGGATTATGTCTGAGGGAGAAGGTAAAGCATTGGAGAACAGGAACCTGGCACAAAAGGAGGCTTCAGCATAGCAAGAAATATTTAACAGGCTCTAGTTGATGTTAGGTAAACTCAAATAGAAGATAAGGTGGCTTGGGTTTTTTAACCAGGAAGTGAAATTACTATTAAAGCAACTTGCAAAAGAATGTCTGGGACTTATTCTTACCATGCATTATTAAGTAGCTTGCTCTAGTTTAAGTAATTCATCTGGCCTATATTATACAAGAATTCACAAGGTCTTCTGTCCTCACCTTTTATGAACACAATGCCGCACTCCAAGCTGCCCTGCGGAGAAGACCTGTCACGAAGCGTGGTTTGTAAAGGCAGGCAGTTTGATCTGAAGACTTTAAATTGTGCTGAATTACCACTTCCCTTGCTAGCTTAATTTTCACTCTGCTGAGCTATTCTTAGTGGCCATCACCAAATTCCAGGTGGTAGAGTTAGAAATGCATTAAAGTGTGTATTTCTTTACTCTGAGAATCTTATTTTTCCCAAGGATTTTAAGGTTGATAAATTCCTATGTTGTGGAGTGACATGGGTATGACAGGCAAGATCTGGAGGATTTAGTAATAAAAGCAGCAGTGTTTTTCAGTAAGCCATGGCACATTCTCTCAGGAGAGCTGCCACATTGTTTGGGAAGTTAATTTAGGGACATCCAGTATGTCGTGGTCACTGGCACCTCTTTTTTTCCTTCTAGGTGAGGATTCTGAAATGACACATTCAAAGATCAGGCAGTTTTAGAAGCTAAGCAAAATCACCCATAATGAATGCAAATGTGTTCTGATGAGTACTTGTCTATATTTTGGGCAGTTTGAGAAGTCACCATCCTGCAAGTCTGACACAGTATCCAGTCAGAAACTAATTTCAGTGCAAAGTAAACACTAAGGAAAGTGGCTTATTTGTCTTTAGGCGGAGCAGCGTGCCTCAGTCCGGCTCACAGTGGTATAACTGCATCTGGTGGTTCTTAGTTGAAACTGCCTAAGTTTATACAGCACAGAGGACACAAATATTAGCCAATAAATCCAGTAAGAGGAGGCGGGGGAGATCTCTACCTGAGACACACAAAGAGAAAAAGGCATTAAAATGTTGATACCTGCTTAGGTGTCCTTCATGCCACCATGAACTGGGACCTGTCTGACTCGGGGTAACTTACCTGTTGTACTTTTAGAAGGAGTTGTGCCCCTGGGAAGAGCAGTGAAAGGTGATGGAGCGCTTCCCATGGCAGACGCCTGGCTGTTATTGCCTTCTTGTTTCAAGACGTTTAGGTTTTGTTTCCTGTTGTCAGCTCTAGTAACAAAGTACCATACATTGTTACCACTCTTTGCACTTTTGACTTTTAGTTCTGTCTTACTGTCCTGTGTAAGTCGTGCCAGGATGACTTCTGTTTTGGTAAGGTGTTGACAGAGGTGTTCAGTGTCAGCACAACTCATAGCTAAGCCTGGCTAAGGAAAGGTCCTCATTTCGCATAATCTCTTTGCCCTGGAATGTTTCAGATGAGCAAGGTGAGAGCTAATTTGTGACCCTGAGTAGATGGACTGGGCTTTGCGTCCTGGGTTCAAGTTGTGAGAAAATCAGAACTTGGGAAGTTGTGTCATTGTAAGCTTGTTTTTTGTGTCTTGCAGACTTTTGGGACACAGCTGGACAGGAGAGGTTCCAGAGCATGCATGCGTCCTATTACCATAAGGCTCATGCTTGTATCATGGTAAGGGTGGTGCCTCAGCTGTGATCTGCTGGGATTTTGACTAGTAACAGTCCTGGCTGACACTTGGTGTGTGTTACTTTTTATGATTACCCTGCCTGCTATTTCTTGTCTCTTCCAGTGGTTTAAAAAACTTCCCTATATCGTTCTTTCTTCTCTCACCAGATTAAACCACTGTAGTTGGGTATGTTTAGCTGTCTGCTGTCTTTCCTGATAACCCTCTTACTATATTCCATGGCTTCGCTGTCTTCTAAATTTCCCTACTGTTGACACTGTGTTTCCAGCGAGGAAATGTACGTACAACTGAGTGTGCTCATCTGGGAGCAGTCCTGTCAGAGGCGATGCGAGGGAGAGGGCATTCCTTGTTCTGTGGTGTGACTTGGAGGATTATGTATCACACAACTGTTCTGACATGTTCTGCAAGGGTACCACATAAGACATTCTTCTCTGGTCTTATGCTCTTTCTATTTTCCTATACTTTGTGCTTCCCATTTAGTAGCTCAAATCAGTCTCGATTCCTGACCCGCTTCGGTCCCTTAATTTGTGCTGTTGCTCTGACTTTCCGCTGCTTCTCATCACTCGTGAGCATCAGTCAACTTCACTGATATTTTAATTGTTAAAATAGAGAAGCCTCTCATCTGACCCTGCTTAGCAGAACAGATTAGAAGCAGAGCAGAGCAGAAGAGAGTCCAGCGTAGGGCAACAAAGATGACTGAGGGATTGGAGCATCTCCCTTTTGAGGAAAGGCTGAGAGAGCTGGGGCTCTTTAGCCTGGAGAAGAGAAGGCTGAGGGGAGACCTTATTAATGCTGACAAGTATCTAAAGGGTGCGTTGAAGGAGGATGGAGCTGAACTCTTTTCAGTGGTTCCCAGTGACAGGACCAGGGGCAATGGGCACAAGCAGGAACAAAGGAAGTTCCATTCAAATATGAGGAGAAACTTCTTTGGGGTGAGGGTGGCAGAGCCCTGGAACAGGCTGCCCAGGGAGGGTGTGGAGTCCCCTTCTCTGGAGATTTTCAAGACCTGCCTGGATGCTCCTGAGTGATGTGCTCTGGGCAACCCTGCTTTGGCAGGGAGTTGGACTGGATGGTCTCTAGAGGTCCCTTCCAACTCTGACAATTCTGTGATTCCATGATTCCCACTGCTTGTTCACTGTCACGGGTGATAGAGTGCTTGTCATAATACAAAATAAGAATGTAAAGGAAAATGAGGGACTGTTTCCTGCATCATGCAAAGAAATGGACTGGCTGCATGTTTCAAGGCTTGCTGGATATTCTCCCTTTTCTCCTTCCTCCTTTCTAACAAACGCCACTTTCCTTTGTTGATGTCCTCCTGGGACAGTTCTGGATTCTGACTTGTGTTTGGTGCAGTGGATTGATACGGGGCTGTCCTGCTGTTGGCCCCACAATAGCTGGTTCTTTTTTGGAAGGTGTTTGATGTGCAGCGGAAAGTCACCTACAAGAACTTAAACAGCTGGTACAAAGAGCTGAGAGAATTCCGCCCAGAGATTCCTTGCATTGTGGTGGCCAACAAAATTGACGGTGAGTATATCTTATTCTTTCAACCTGTCAGGATTGCAATGTGATTCTCTTCTGACCTGGCTGAGAAAGAATGTCATTCATCGGTTAAGTCCAGATGGGTTCTTGAGTATTGATCCCTCAGAGCTGTATTTCACCACAGGAATAGCTGAGTCCTCTACTGACCTTGCATGCTGTCTTATAGGCCCTTAACCTTGTTTGACTAGCAATTAAAAATACAAATTTGATCCATTTAAAGTTTATGCAAGTGATGTCTTTCCAATTCAGTCCTTACCGTTTCATCCAGCAAGAACACAAAAGCTGATTGGAGCAGTACCTAGTGAAAAATTGCAGGATGTCTTGCTGGAAAAAGAGCATGACTTACTATGTGGCTTCCCCTGATACAGTCAGTAACTGCCTGTGCCTTGCTAATTAAGCCTGCGGGTTTCTGTGGGACTCCTCTGTGGTAAAGTGTCTAAATATACCTGCTGGCCAAATTCTTACCTTCCTCGGCAGGTGACTGGATGATTCCCTCCTCGTAGGAATGCCAGCTGGGCATTCGTTGCTGCTGTCATTGGGGTTGCGATCTGTCTCTGGCACCCTGTGAGAGCTCATAATGCAGCAGCTCTCTGCTCAGCATCAACAAGAGAACACATCCCCTTGGACCACATTCTCCTGCTATTCTCTGCCAAATACAGTGTCAGACATGGGCTTCCTTGCTGACATTCATGGCAGAAATCATCGTGGCTATGACTAGGTGTCTGCACCTGAATAAGGTGTCTGGGCTCCCACTGCAGTCTGAGGAAGTTCATTTGGTTCAGTGGTGTGGCATAGGGCTAAAAAAAAGCCTTTCCTATAGGATGCGTCAAGCCAGCCTTGAGTCCACTGGTTGCATGATGGTACAGGAGGGCCAAGGCAAATGGGCGTGGGGTTGACAGCTGTAGTGTAGACAGAACCTCTGGGTCGATGAATCCTGCACTGTCTGTGAGTGTACACTACTCCAAGAGAGTCCCCTGCCTTTCCTTCTTTGCTGTATTCCACCCGCAGTAGAAAATGGCCACTCCAGAGCTCTTAACGCAGGCCCAGTCTGCAGGAGAGTCGATCCAGCTTCCTGCAAGGCGGTGGGGAGCAGCTGCCTGGGCAGTGCCCACTGGGAAGCATCTGGAGTCTGAGCTACTTCAGCTGTTGCTTCCTTGAGAAGATCATCTGGAGTCATCCCCCTGAGCTGGCACATGGGTCTGTCACCACTTTGAGCTGCTGCTGCTGTGTCAGCACCTCCTGAAAATACACAGTAGGTTTTTTCCCAAAACTGAAATAAAGCCTCTGGCCTCCTGAGGTTGGGGCAGCTGGACCAAACTGCCTGTTAAGTAAAAATATGTAATAGTGGAGCAATTTGTACATTGTGAGTGTGCCCCTGACTCACAGGAATAGAGGTAACATGGCATTAAGGGCAGGGGGGAGTTCTGGCTAAAAAGGCCAAGCCGGAGGGAGAGGCATGACTAGTTCTGGCAGCAGTGTCCAGGTCATGTGGAGACAGAAAAGTCATAGGGACATGTTCAGAAAACATTCATAGCTACTGTACAGCAAATGATATGTTCTGAGCTGCAAAGCATTATTCATTTATGCACATCAGCATCCATCAATAATTTAGTCAAGCACCACAGATAAATCAACAAGAACTCTTTTTGTGTCTTCTTGTCAATGGTTTGCTGATGATGCTGTTTTTCAAGTGCTGTTGCTCTCAGGGAGGACTCTCCCAGCCTTGTGCTGCAGTGAGGAGGCCCTGACGGCTAAATCAGGCTCCATCTGTTCCACCACTCCTGCATATGTGACATTCCCCCTACAGTGATGTCTTTCTGACCACTTCTTCCTTTTTTTGCCCCCAGCGGACATGAAGGTGACACAGAAAAGCTTCAACTTTGCCCGGAAGTTCAGTTTGCCCTTTTACTTTGTGTCTGCTGCAGATGGCACCAACGTAGTGAAGGTAAAACACAGCTATTTGGCTCAGCATCAAGGATACCCCTGTACGGTCCAAGGACGTGGGGAGTGCTGTAGGCACAGAGAGCAGAAAATGGGCTAGCACCTCTGTTGGGCTACTTGTGAGGTCCTGGTAGCTAGAGGTAGTTGCCAAATTTGTTTGTTTTTTTTTTTCTCTTGGGGTGTGGGAACAGTTTCCATCTGTTACAGGAACCCAGTGCCCCTTACTTTGAGTGACAAGCATTCTCCTTCCCATCAGCTCTTCAATGATGCAATCAAACTGGCGGTGGCTTACAAACAGAATTCAGGAGATTTCATGGACGAGGTCATGAGAGAACTGGAGGTAAGAAAGGCTCTCCTTCCTGCACTCCTCCTACGTGATGAGGAACTCTGCACTTTTTTGCCTCAGAGAAAGCAGAGCCTGTGGCAAAGGGTGAACCTTTGCAGGCATGGAAAGATTTGCCTTACGCTGGTTACACCATGGGGTTTGTGTGCTGCCAGCATCCAGGTTGAGCCCATGCTGCCTTAGGCCTAATTGGAAAGAACCACAGCAGAGCATAGCTGTTGCTCACCTGCTTCTCAGCAGCTCCTTCTGCTCCTTTCCAGAGCTTTGACCTGCAGAAGAAGAGTGAGGATTTGTTGGATCAAGAGGAGAGCTGCCCTGAAGAGACGCCCCCATCTGCCTGAGCCCCATACCCTGAGTCTGGTTTTCCCCTTTGCTCTAGATTTTGGAGGCTGGTTAGAGCTGCCTTCACAGAGGAAAGTGATTTTTCTCACCCCCGAGAGCTCTGGTGATGGGCAGCTGGGCCTCTGCCCTTCATGGGGGAGACTGTCTGGGCATCCGTCCGTGGCTCGGCCCAAGCCACCGCACCTCCCGGTCAGGAAAAGGGCGAGAGTATCCACATGGTTGCTTGTTACTGCACTTTCCTTCAAGGCAAAGCTCGCTGGGAGAGCTGAGCTGCTCCTGGACCTGCAGGGCAGGGTCTTGCCCAGATGCTTTAACAGTACCTCCTGGAGCAAACTAATACTAAAGAATTCTTTTCTAGAGCTTTGAGCTTGTGTCCTTCCTGTGCTTCTGTTATAAGGCAGCGCAGTGACTCTTCAGCGCGAGTCCAACTGCCAGCCCTCCCCGCTGCTGTCACAGCCCAGCCAGCGCTGCCCCTCTGCCCACCCTGGGGTCTCTGCTGCAGAGCTGCTCTGGGTCTCCTGCCCCGTCATGTTGGGCAGCACCAGCTCCAGCAGACTTGTGGGCACGGGTTTTCACCTTTCAGGTCTGCTAGAGCTGAATCAGGTGGCTTGTTCTGTCCCAGCCCGATGGATGTAGTTGCTGTTGCTCCCATGGGTGTGTGCAGGAGACTTGCTGCATTCCAAAGAGCTAGAAATGCAAACACACACACACACAGAGCCACAACTAAAGTGAACGGCAAAATAGACTGACACAGACAGAGCAATGTCTTTACCCACACCCATGTATACATAACCACCACATACATCAACATGAACACACTCCAGTCCTTCTCTGCATTTCCAGGTGATCAGGACAGGATGTTTACAAGTGAAACATCATCACACCTTCACCCCTAGATTCATAAGCACAGCACATGCACAGATTCCTCAAATAACAGTATGGAAATTAGGTAATTAAGTGTTATGTGTTAGCTATGGGTGGATGTCAAGCTCATTGTGCAGTCATTGCTGCAAATCGTGGGTCTTTCTAGATCCACATCTCCTGAGTCATGAGAGCTCAGGCTCAAGTTCACTGGTGCATTGCACACACAGACACACACACACTCAGGGATCCCACCAGTAGCCAGCCTAAGCCACTTTGTGGTCCCAACTGCTGTCCCCAAGACCTCTAACCCCTCACGACCTGTGTTCCCTTCTTCCACTACACCCTCAGCCTCCTCTCCAAACAGATACATGTTCAGCCCTTTGGGGTGACTCTCC